TGATTCCAGACTTTTCTGATACACATTCCTCACTGCCTGGAGAGCCGGGCTTCAGACTGAGGCCACCTGCAAAGGAGGCAGAGCTGAGAGATAGAGCTCAAGAGCTAGCTAACCTGTTATGAGCTATGTGTTTCCTGAAAATAAGACCTAACTGGAAAATAATCAGCCTTGAAAATTATTACACATTAAAAATGCTGGTTCAAGTCACCCTGCCTAACCTGTCATTACAGAGTAGCCACTGAGTAAGAGAATAGTGAGGTATAATCTTCTGCACAACACTGGCCATCACCATGGTAATGACCAAGGCTTATTTTATGGTTGGGTCTTATTTTGGGGGAAACATGGGTAGCTAGTAGCTAGCTAGCTAGATTTGAAGACAGACATAATTTCAACCCTTCTCTGGACTTCCCTGCCATGCAAATGCCAGAGTTCAACCAGAGAAGAGGAACCATTAGATTAGATGTAGACAGACAGACCAAGCTGGCATCTGCTTGGCCTCTGGTGAGAGCCTTTGCTACATCCTCACATGGCAGTGGCAATGCCAGAGAAAGCTTGCTCTTATAACAAAGCTGCCCCACAGTAACCCATTGATTCATGAATAAACGAACCTAACTCATCAGGCAGCACTCACATGACCGACTACGTCCTGCCTCTCAAATACTATTAATGCATCACTCTGGGATTAAGTTTCTGTTATGGCTTGTGTCTAGATGTCCCCCCAAAGCCTCATACAGTCATAGGTGGGCTTTTCCAGAGGTGGCTGATCTAGAATATGTGAGTGATTAATTCATGATGCAATGGTAGGTTCAAGAGGGCAATAGGATTAAGGGTGTGGGTGCTACCCACCCTAAGTAGCCTGGATAAGATACTGGAACCTCATGGCAAGGGCTGGAACCCCATGGCAAGGGCTGAAGCTTGATGAATGGGCTGCAGTCAGGAAAAAGGTCTTGAAGCAAAGCAATGGTTGACCCAGAAGTTACTGGAGTATCCTCTCAGGGAAGCCAGCTTTTGAGGGATTTGAGTCAGAGTCCTCCAACAGGACTATCTCCTCTTGATTAACTCACAAGCTGATCGAGGACCTTAAATTTTACTTGCAGAATTCCTTCCCCTTAACTTCTGGAGTAGTATTTGATTAAATACCTGCAGGAAGGTATGTGTATTACAATATTGCTGCTGCCTATTTCTGACCTGTAGCTCTAGACAGAGAATATTCCCCTAGCTCACCCTAAAAGGAAACAAATTAGAAAGGGAATTCTGGGGCCCCAGGCAAGTTGATACATCAAAAACCTATGATAGCCATAGATTTCTTTTTCCCCACAAGCTAAATTTGAGTTAGATGTCTATTGGTTGGAAGGAAAAGAGTGTTCACTTGCTATGTGTTTATTGATTAGTCCTGACACACACAAATGACATAGGTATTATTTCCAGTTTTAGAGGCTTGTGGTTCAGAAGAGTTAAGAAATTTGTTCAAAGACATAGAAGTTCAAACAAAGTCTGTCTTTCCTGCTACAATAAGTGAAATACTTGGGCAATTTGGAAGCTAACTTCAGCAATGTTATGTTTTTTTTCTGATAAAAAGAGCTCTAGAACTGATGTGCTTTATTCAGCCAATGACAGAACAAGGCCAAGAAACAGATTTTATCTTCATGACCCAGTGCTTGACCTAGATGTATTATTAGTTGGCTGATGTAATCAGTGGTTTGATCTGTTTCCCTTGTGTTTGTATCTATTTCTTTTGAAGATTATTATTTAAAATTTTAACTTTTATTTGGAGGACGCTTCCTACACGAAGTAGCTTAGATCTTACACTCTCCTACAAGTGGCAGCTACGATCACAATGTTAAACGGACACTCTAGAAGCCCCTTGTCACAGTGATCAAGGGAAAAAAAGGAAAGCACAAATGAAAAATATCAGGAATGAAAGAGGAAGCTGAGTGTATGGTGCATGCCTATAATCCCACCACTCCTGGAGGCTGAGGCAGGCAGACCATAAATTCAAGCCCATCCTGGGCAACTGAGCATTGTAGAGAGATCCTGTCTGAACATTAAAAATAAAACAAAAGGACTGATGATGTAATTCAGTCTGACAGCTCTGTTTTAAATCCTCATTATTGGAAAAAAAAAGAAGAAAAGACAGATTATAGATTTAACAGACTTTAAAAAAAGAATTAAAAGAGGACAGTAGGAAAAATGTTATCAACATAAATTCAATAACCTTGATGAAAGGGACAAATTCCCAAATTCTTTGAGAATGGATACAGTAATCAAGACTTTTGAGATGTGGTGGCCCGCACCCGTAATCCCAGCATTTGGGAGGCTGAAGCAGGAGGATCGCCTCAAATTCGAGGCCAGCTTGGGCTACACAGTGAGTTCAAGACCAACCTGAACTACACGAAGAGACTCTGTCTCAAAACCCAAACAAATACTTTTGAGGTGACACCTGAGAGGGGAAAGCTGAATCATTTGCCACGGCTGACTGCATCCTCCTTAAAGTCTTTCTGTTTTGGCTTCTATGAAACACCACATTTCTCCATTTAGGTCTTTCCCCCTTCTTCCTTCCGCCTTCCTTTCTGCTTAATAGACTAACTGTCTACATTTGCATACAGGGCTGTGACCACCATTTGTACACTGATGGCCCCCATAGCGGCAGCCCAAACTGCCTTGTTAAACTTCAGTTGGACAAAATGCCCAATTTCTGTCTGGATGATGACCCAGACTGGCCATGTGTGACCCCTCCTGGGTGTCATCAGACCTCTCAGACTCACCATCTCCTCTTCGCCTGTTAACCATACCCAGTTTTCATTTGGGAACTAACCCATGCCCATTCCCCACCACTGCCGGTCAGGAAACGCCTTCCTCCCCCCTCAACCCCACCCCTACTCGAGCAAGTTACTTGGTTCTGTCCCTCCAGCCTGTCCTCCTCACCGTTGACTGCATGTCTCCCCAGTCAAATCTCTCATGGTGGCTGGGGTCCTCATTCTTTGATGCTTCTCCATTAAGAGACGGGCTGTCCTTTATATCTGGGCAGGCTTGTGAATGCTTTGAGCAATTGAGCCCTGCCAATGGGGCACTGTGTGACCTCTGAAGTGAAGGTGGCAAAGTCTACACAGCTCCCACTGGTCCTGCAGTGCTCACCTTGGAGGTCTCCTCTCAGGAAATCCAGCCCAGGAGAACCCAACTGCCATTTTGTGAAAAGCTTAAGCCACACGCAGAGGCCACATGGAGATGCTCTGGTGAGTTGGCCCAGTTAACCCAGCTGTCACGTTCCACCAGCCCAGCCTCAAGGCCTGAGAATTGTTAGCGGGCCCTGTGGCCCCAGCTCTTCCAGCCACCAGCCATTTGAATCCCCAGCTGAGGCTCTGGACACATCCGAACAAAGATGAGCTGTCTTACAGCTCTGTCAATCTCTCGACCACAGGAGACTGCGAGAATAAATCAAATGGTTCTGTTAAAGCTGCTAATTTTGAGAATAATCCTTTGCATAGCAATAGTAGTAAAATACTCATGCCACACCTGGCTGAAAATGTTTCAGGGATTTCCCATCACCAGCAGGATTTGGCCTTCTGCACCAGACACCTGCTTACCTCACCAGATCCAGCTCCTGTCCCTGCCCACCAAGCCCCAGTCCCAGCCATTCTGCAGTTCCTGGAATGGTCCCTACGTTCCTAGGCTTCCATGCCTTGTACACATGGTAGTTCTGTTGCATGTCAGGTAGAGAACCAGATATTTATCAAATCATCTGGAAATAGGGGGGTGCACACCTATTTCCCTCCTTAAAAATCTCGTTTCTCCAGTAATAATACCAATTGAGTGGCCCTCCAGTAATAATACCAATAGTCTAGGTACTCTTCAAAAGTATATTCAGAGAGTATTTGTTGTTATCTAGGTCTCTGAATAAAATAATTGTTATGTGTAAGGAACCTGGAGCCAGATTGCTTGTTGTCAAATTCAAGCTCTATCCCTTTGTAATGGGTGACTTTGTGCAGGTTGCTTAACCTCACTAGGCTTCAATTTTTCCATCTGTAAAATGGGGTAATAAATAATATTTCACAGAGTTAAGGGAAGGATTACACGAGTTAAGGTATGTACAGTATTTAGAATGGTCCCTGGCATAGAATCCCTTGGTAGGTAAGCATTTGTTTACAGTGAAACAACTCTGCAAGTAGTTTAGCCACTGTTCATGTTTCACTGGTGTCATTTTCTCTGGGAGACCTCCCTGATGTCTCCCCCATACTGGCTGGTTTCCCAGAGGCCCACCCCATCCAGCCACCTCAGCTCAGCAGGTGGCACTGTGTCTGCAGTCCAATCAGTGCAGCTTCACCCTTCTGTTCATCTGCTGAACTCTCAAAGGCAGGGCTGGATTTTATCCATTTTTTCTCTTCCCAGGATATGAGTCATAATGGGCCTTCAATAAATGTGTGTTAAATGAGATCTTGCTTTGACTTTACAAACAGTAATACAAGCCCAGGAAAGGCTGACGGAGTGCTTATAAGCCATACAGGTAGTAGTGGCCGAACAGAACCCGAAACTTCCAGGCCATTTCTTCTGACTCTTAGGCCTAGTTCCAGGTGAGTGTGAGTGTGTGTGCATGTGTGTTCACTCATGTCTGGCCATTCATTTTTCAGATTACTTTATCAGCCACTCATAAAATAATCCATATTCTTTCAGTACCCTTCTGATCTCCCCACCAACATACACACACACTGTTTTAGTGTTGATCAATTATTATTTCTGGAGAAAGGATTATTGGGAAGGAAGTAGATTTACATCCTTCCGATTAGAGGGTTTGCTGAGTTCCGGAGAACCCTGAAGACTTGAATCTCCCATCACGTAAGAGGACGTTTCTTTGATCCATGTCTTATTTTCCCAGGTGAGGAGATGAAGTAGCCTCCCTGAGAAAACAAGTTGAATTCAACCTGGGCCTCAGGTCGGGGCTCGGGCACCATCGAGGGCTTTCTCTACCCAGCCTACCTCCCTGCCAACATCAGGTGGCGCTTTCCTCGCTGTCCTCACTCAGCACAGTGCGGAGGGTGACTCCCCAAGCCCCTTCCCCGAAGGGGGCACTCCTTTCTGCTCCTCGCCCATGGCGCGTGTGATCTGCGTGTGTGTGTGTGTGTGTGTGTGTGTGTGTGTGTGTGTGAGAGTGTGCATCTTATGGAGGAGACCTGGCCCGATATATGAAGTGTTATCTCCTGCTTCCAGCTCTATTATCGATTCCAGAATTGTTTTTTCTCCGTGACGTGAAACACAGCCCCTTAAATCAGAGTGAAGCGAAGGTGCTGGCTCTCCCCCGTCCCCATCTCCTTAGCGGCCCGAACCCGAAGCTTTCCCGACGGCTCCGGGTGTGCCTCTCCTTCCCCGCAGGACCCGGCCGCGGTGCCCTCTGTGGCCTCTCGCTCTCCTCCCCTCGCCCCACTTTTGCACCGCGCGGGCGACGGTTTGGGGGAGGGGGCTGGGCAGGGGGCGTGGAAGGCCCGGCGGGGAGGGGCGCCGAGCGCTGTCACCGCGTGTCACGCTGCCCTCCCCGCCCTCCTCCTGGTGTGGAGCGCGCGGCGAGGCCGGCGAGTGGGGACGCGGGCGGCCTGGCTTCTCCGCGAGCCGCGCCGCACCGGAGCGGGAGCGCAGCCCGAGCCGGAGCCGGAGCCGAGCCGGAGCCGCGCGGTCACCAGCCCCGTGCGCTCGCGGAGCGCCGCGCCATGGAGCCCTCGCACAAGGACGCCGAGACGGCGGCGGCCGCCGACCCCCGGGGGACGGCCTCGTCCAGCGGGGTGGTGGTGCAGGTCCGCGAGAAGAAGGGCCCCCTGCGCGCCGCCATCCCCTACATGCCCTTCCCCGTGGCCGTCATCTGCCTCTTCCTCAACACCTTCGTGCCGGGACTGGGTAAGCACCGGGCAGGTCGCGACCCTGGCCCCGTGGGCTGGCGGGGCGGGAGGGCTGCGCGCAACTGCGACTCCCGGACCCCGCGCCCGCCGCCCGGCAGGTGGCA